AAATCAATCGGTTCAATAGCATTTGATATCTTATCAGTCGCCAAATGGGTTTTGTTTATATTAATTTAGATTTATTATACCAGTGTAAATATATTAATTTTTTTTTTAAATCAGTGTGACTTCTTCTTGAAGAAATCACTTCCTCTACTCAAATTAAAAAAAAAGAGTTTTAAACCCTAGAAGCCACAAATAAAAGAACAAAAAACTTTTTATATCAGGCTTTAAAAACAATTAAGCATAATTTGGTCGAAGTGTGAAAGTATTTTCTATTTCAGAAAATTTAGTGAGTAATAAAGGACACGCCTAAGTAGCAATTCGAAAGACATTCTCAGTTTTTATATTTTTATTAAAAAAAAATAATTAGAATGTTTAAAATTAATTAATTAAAATTGTTCGGAACAGACAATACCCGAGAGTTTAGCTTAATTGTTTTTAAAACTAAAATTGATATCAACAAGTATGCATCAACATGTATCTAATTTTTTTTTTAAATTTAGTGAATGGTTTTTATTAAAAAATGTATTATTTTTATTTATTCGAAAACTTTCCTTTCACTATTATAAAAATAAAAATATTTTCATTCTTATATGTGAAAATGTTGCATGAATAACGAATAATTATTTTCAAAGTTATTTAATCAAGATAAACTATTTTTTTTAGTTCTACTAATTAAATTAAAATAATTTTGTTTACTATCTATAAAATTGAATAATAAATAAATTTGAGTATAAATTACAGAATATTTGAGCAAAAATTTAGTTTTTATATGAAATTCGAAAACCGGCTAAAACCGGTTTTTTAGTAAAATTAAAATTCGAAAACCGATATATATATATATATATATATATATATATATAATATATATATATTAGGAGAGGTCGATTTTGTGGGTAAAAAAGTCACATAGGTACATATGATTTTTATATACTAGGGATCAAAATAAGATACTTTGCCGAAGAACCATATCCCTAATATGAATTCTGATTTCCCGTGCATTCACACAAAAATTTGGTCAAATTTGAAAAATCCTTTTTGTTTCATTTAGAGCGCCTCAATAATGTCCAAATGTATGACCGACCCCAGTAACTTTGGATGGCCGATCTACCCACGCCCATGGTTCACCCCCTGGAACCTTCCGTTAGAGATCCCCCATACAAAAGTTGCATCATTTTGGGTACTTCAACATGACAAAAATCTGCGATTTATTTTTATTATAAATTTAATCATAAGTATATAAAACTATGTTGTTGAAATTGTTTGAAGTCTTTCTTAGTTTCAAGTCTGGAAAGTTTTGCACGGCTCTAGTAACACCCTCTAGCTAGCATAGAAACTAGGGTTTATACAAAAACCGGCCTTTCAGAAAACCGGTTTTCGAATTTTAATTTTGCTAAAAACCGGTTTTAGCCGGTTTTCGAATTTTATATAGAAAATAAATTTTTGGTCGAATATTCTGTAATTTATCCGCAAATTTAGTGTGATTTAGAGCAGTATTTGACTGAATTTATTTATTGTTCAATTTTATAGATAGTAAACAAAATTATTTTATTGTAGTAAATAGAACTAAAAATAATAGTTTATCTTGATTAAATAAATTTGAAAATAATTATTTGTATTCATGCATCATTTTTACATATAAGAATGAAAATATTTTTATGGTAGTGAAAGGAAAGTTTTCGAATAAATAAAAATAATACATTTCTAAATAAAAAAATAAATTAGATACATGTTGATATATACTTGTAAATATCAATTTTAGTTTTAAAAACAATTAAGCTAAACTCGGGTATTGCCTATTCCGAGCAATTTTAATTAATTAATTTTAAACATTCTAATTGTTTTTTGTTTAATAAAATATGATTTCAAAAAACTGAGAACATCTATCGAATTGCTACTGAAATAGAAAATACTCTCATGCGTGCGACCAAATTATGCTTAATTGTTTTAAAGTTTTATATAATAATTATAAGCTTTTTGTTCTTTTATTTGTGGCTTCTAGAGTTTAAACTCTTTTTTTTGAGTTTGAGTAGAGGATGTCACTTCTTCAAGAAGTAACACTGATTTAAATTAAAATATACTCTGGTATAAAAATCTAAATTAATATATATAAAACCTTTCTGGGGATCATTGCAGACTGATAAGATATCAAATGCTATTGAACCGATATGATTTTGAGAACCAAAACGCTTTCATCTCTTTTTTATATTTAGCTATATTTGTCATTTTCCATTTATACAGTGAAAACCGACTTAAAAAAAACATTTTTTGCTGAGTAAATTACCAAAAACGATGATTTTTTGTAATATTTGTATGGGAGACTTCTAAGGAGAGGTCCCAGGGGGTGAACCATAGGCATGGGTGGATTTGCCTTCCAAAGTTAGTTGGGGTTTGTTATACATTTGGACACGATTGGAGTACTCTAAATGGAGTAAGACGGAATTTTTCAAAATTCAATCCCTATCTTTGGGTGAATGCACGAGACATCAGAATTCATTTTAGAGGTATGGTTTCTTCAGCAAAGTATCTCATTTTGATCCGTAGTAGCCGAAAATCATATGTGCCTAAGCGACCTTTAAATCGACCCGCCCTAGTATATATAGTAGCAATTAGGGAATGCGTTACCGATGGAAAATTTCAATACGGTTATTTTTTATTTTAAAACCGCAATACCGGTAAATTACCGGTATTTTATTATATTAAATAAACGTAAACAAAATTGAAAGTTACTAGTACAAATAGAAAAAATGTATATACAATTTCAACTACATTCAACTTAACAATGAAATAAAACAATAAATTTATTTTTTAAAATAAATATTTAACAAAATTATATCCAATTTAATTAATTCATTATCACTATCGAGTATATTGAGTACTTTTTTACCAATAACAAACTTATGAGTAAGAAAAACCAAAAACTCATAAAAGATAACATTACATTATTATAATAAACTGTATTGTCTGTATCCGATGTGTTAAATTAGTATAATCTCCAATATTTTTAAAAAAAAATATTTTTCTACACTAATTTAAGATCGGATACTTTGTCGAGATAAATAATAAGTTAATATAATTGTTGAGTATTGTTATTTAAAACAATGTAATGCTTCTATAGTATTTTCGAACATCGAAACGTTTTCGAAAAATAATATTTTATAATTGTAATAAGAATCAAAAATATTTAGTAGTTATCATAATTATTATGTATAAAGTTAGAAAAAAATAAAGATTACGCAGGGGTAATCTGTATGATATAAAATATTTTGGCGCAAATATCATTAAAAAACAGTTACATTTTTACATAAGATGAAACAAACACCATTATCTATCAGTCCAATTCTATTTATTGCAACACGATACGTACCCTTAGTAAAGCAATAAATATTCAGTTTAATGACGAGTTGAGATAATATTTGACATTTGTTTATCCTATATAATCACTTGAAGATATAGCTGTTTATGCGATTATGGAATTTAAAGATGAATTTGTTCCGAGAAATTTGAACTTTAATGTATTATGTATCAAAGAGCGCTTATGTAAAATACCGAAAATACCGGTATTTTTGGGGTAAATACCGGTAAAAATGCCGCCGAAAAATCGGGCGGTTTAATAATAATTAAAGAAGCGATATAATAAAATTAATAATAAAAATTAATAATTAATAATAAAAGAAGCGATTTCTAAAGATAATTTACATTCAGTTGCACTCATACTTACCTAACTGTAGCAGCACTATGAATGCATATAGAAACTTTGCTACAAATCATTTTTCTGTCTTTTTCATTTAAACCAAGTCCCACTATTGAACAGTCGCCATTAATCCCTATTATTTTATGTCGATAATTTGGCATGTCTAGTTTTAATTGATCAAATACCTACAAAAAAGGCATAAATATGGTACAATAAAATTTAAATTACAAGAAAAAAATAAAATTTATAAATTTATTATTTTAATTTTTGGGTTTGCTTTTTATTATTTGAGGTTCTGAGTTTTGAAGAGCTTGATGCTCATGCTTATTGTAGTTTGGTTAACTAGTTCTAATCAGATATAGTATCTGATTGAATTTTTTTTTAAATTAATCTATTATATAATTCTGCAGTATAGAATCTGTAGTTTAACCAATAAAATTAGTAAAAGAAGTATTTCTCTTAAATACAAAATAAAAATTTTTTTTTAGGAAAATCCAATTAAATTATTTTTGCATTACTCTTGAAAATCATTGTCACCGATATTGACGGGTACGATTTAATTCAAATGATCAAGTTGTGAATTCTTATAACCTTAAATAAAGCCAGTTTAGTATATTTAAATTAATATATGCGCCAACTTACAGGGTCTTCAAATAAGGTGTCCACTCTTTCCAAAACATTTTTTCCTTTTTTAGCTCTCACGAGTAAATATAATTTTTCTACGTCGGGGCAAGACCGCAATATTTTGTCTATCAATGCTAAATAATCAATCAAGCTAGTTAAAATTACATTACGCTCAATTTAAAAATGGAATATAACATATTCATTACCTTTTCCCAAAAATCCTGTAGCGCCTGTTATTAGAATGCTGCGATTTGTATAAAATTTTTTGATTGCAGAATCTAAAATAATTAAAAACTAGTGGTATTGGTATTTAGCCTTGAGGCAAGTTACCTGAACTTCCCGATTTGTGTAAATAATCGAATTAATCTATGATAGATAAATTAATTTATGAGTAGTTAAAATTATTCGAAGTGTATTTATTACACATTATTGAAAAACAAACACGTCAACCCGGTCGGAGTATTTTTTAAAAGCAAATTTTCAACAAACAATAATTTTTATAATTGAGCCAGTTTTTTGTAGAACTTTAATTGTTTAGTATGTTCATTAAGACCAAGTACTCTATCGTTATACCAAGTAAATCGTCTAATTTTAATTTTAACGAATCCCAAAAGAACTACTTATTTTCTCAAACTTTTTTTAAAATTAAATTACTTGTCGTAAGACCGCAATATTTCAGTAATTTCTTTAAGACCATGATATATATCGCCAAAAAAAGTTCCATTAAATCGGCCTCGATTTTTTTTCAACAGTTAATTACAAGAAAACGGCTCCGTAGATTTTCACCTAAAACTAATCAGTATCATTCCCAACTAATGTCTTTCGAACAGTTTTTGATTTTTTAAAATCGATTCGGTAGTTTGAGCTTAAATGTGGATGAAAAGCTTAACACTTTCTTTCAAATTATAAAAAAGCGGCTTGGCAGATCGTCGCACAAAACTGACAAACGATAGTCCTCATCGAGATACATCAAATGGCTTTTAAATTTCTGAAATCGGTTCAGGCGTTTCTGAGAAAACGTCGATCAAAGGTCTAATTTTGACAAATGCCAAAAAACTATACAAATTTTTTTGCACACTTTGATGAATTTTTAAAGCTGAACGAGTTGTCGTAAAGCTGTAATATTTTAGTGTGATCTAGAAGACTATGGTATCTACTAGGGTTTATACAAAAACCGACATTTCAGAAAACCGGTTTTCGAATTTTAACTTTACTAAAAAACCGGTTTTAGCCGGTTTTCGAATTTTATATATAAACAATTTTTTTTGTTCGAATATTCTGTAATTTATCCGCAAATTTAGTGTGTTTTAGAGCAGTATTTAACTGAATTTATTTATTGTTCAATTTTATGGATAGTAAACAAAATTATTTTAATTTTAATTAGTAGAACTAAAAAATAATAATATATCTTGATTAAATAATTTTGAAAATAATTATTTGTTATTCATAAATCATTTTCACGTATATAAGAATGAGAATATTTTTATGATAGAAGAAGGAAAGTTTTCGAATAAGTAAAAATAATACATTTTTAAATAAAAAACATTCATTAAATAAAAAAAAATTAGATACATGCTGATACATACTTGTTAATATCAATTTCAGTTTTAAAAACAATTAAGCTAAACTCGGGTATTGTCTGTTCCGAGCAATTTTAAATAATTAATTCCAAAACATTTTAATTGTTTTTTTTGTTTAATAACATATGATGTGAAAAAACTTAGAACGTCTATCGAATTGCTACTTAGACGTGTCCTTTGTTTACTCGTAATATTTCCTGAAATAGAAAATAATCTCATACTTGCGACCAAATTATGCTTAATTGTTAACATAATAATTCTAAGTTTTTTGTTCTTTAATTTGTGGCTTCCAGGGTTTAAAACTCTTTTTTTCAAGTTTGAGTAGAGGAAGTTACTTCTTCAAGAAGATGTTACACTGATTTAAATTAATATATATAGTGGTATAAAAAATCTAAATTAATATATAGTATATGTGAAACCTTTCTGGGAACCATTGCAAACTGATAAAATATCAAATGCTATTGAACCTACATGATTTTAAGAATCAAAACGCTTTCATCTATCTTTTTTATTTGGCTATATTTGTCATTTTCCATTTATACAGTGAAAACCGACTTTTTTCACTAAAAAACCGGTTTTCGAATTCCATAATTTTTGCAAAAACCGACAAACCCTAGTATCTACCGTCAAAAAAATAATAAAAATCGTCGATTTTTTTTTTTAAACTTTATTTAAAGAAAACGGCCCGGCCGATCTCTACCAAAAACTAATCAGCAGGATTCCCAATCAGTATCTATCAAACGGTTTTTGAATTTTCAAAATCGATTAAGAATTACGGGCTAAAACGTGGACAAAATTCTTTTCACTTTTCTGCGATTTACAAAGAAACGGCTCGGCCGATCGTCACACAAAACTCAGAAACGCTAGTCTTCATCGAAATACATCGATTTTAAATTTTTGAAATCGGTCCAACCGTCTTTGGAAAAACGTCGATTTACACGCACACACAACACATGCTTCTTCCAAATTTGGTCTCATTCGATTCAGGATGGCTTGAAACGTCGAGAAAACATAAAATCAGTGAATCGGATTTTTTTATGAAAACATAAACTTCTCCTTCGGGAAGTTAATAAATTTGTAATTTAAAACATTAATTTATGTACCTTGACATTTTAGAATATCCAGATCATTGGTTATTGATGCCATGTCCTTTGTAGAAATATGAGCAAATATTTAGAAATTTTCCTGGAAATAAAATAAAATAATTTTTATAATATATATGTATATATACTTTTATAATTTATATAGCTTGGTATTACATTTGTTTTAATCGGAGTAGTGTAGTGGTAATTTATTTTTGAACAAGCATAATTGTTCCATTAAGCTTTTGATTCAAGCTCAAAAATCGGAACTAATTTTATGTCAAAAATATTCAAAGACTGAACGCGGTATAAAAAATGATTGAATTGCTAAAATAACTGTAAAAAATACCAGTTTTTTTATATAATCAACCGATTCAAGTAGTAACTGGTGGTGTATGGCATCGTGCCTTAAACCAATTTGATGAAACTTCCCGTACCACTAGAGAATCATTATTAACTTCCCGTAGGGCAAGTTATAGTAATCGCAAAAAAATCGAAAATGAAAATTTTTATATATCTTTACGTTTCAGAGGTTTCTGAACATTTTGGCATACCTTAGAAAAAATGGATGTATGTGTGTGTGTGTGTGTGTATGTATGTATGTATGTATGTATGTATGTATGTATGTATGTACGTGTGTGTATGTATGTGCGGATACAAATTTTCGTCGACGATTTCGGGAACACGGATCAACCGATTTGAATAATTCAAAAAACATTCTATTCGTATTGATAAGGAGACGTGCTGATTAGTTTTTGGCAAAGGCAGGTCTTGCCGTTTCAAAGATACGGGGCAAAAAGTGCCAAAAATGGTACCTCCGTTTTTAAGAGAACGGAGCGTCCGATTTGAATAATTCAAAAAACATTTTACTTGTATTGACAAGATGTAGAATTGATCAAATTTTCATGAAGGCAGGTCTAGCGGTTTCGGAGATCTAATGGAAAAAGTAAAAAAAAATGCCATTCGGCGGTTAAAAATGATCATTAGACATATGCACATCAAATTATCAGATATTTTATAGAGATTTTAACAATAAGTATAATTTTTTTTTACATTTATATGGGTTCCGTACCAATGCTTATGCGTTAGGCGGCGGCGCGGCACTTGCGCTGTGACATTTTGTCTCTATGCAGTTCAAGCAGTACCATTGCTTGAAAATAAGTTCAGAATTTCCAAAATATGTCAAAATGAAGAAAACATTATTCTTTTCAAAAAAAATTTTTGTTTTCAAAAAAAAATTTTTTCATTCAAAAAAAAATTTTTATTTTCAAATAATTTTTTTTTTCAAAAAAAAGTAATTTTTTGTCAAATTTATAGTTTCTCAAAAATCTAATTTTTTCGAAGTAATTTTTTCAAAAATGTTAATCGTTTTTAAACAAATAATAATTTTTGGTACGGGAAGTTCCAGCAATTTGCCTTAAGGCACGATGCCCTAATTGCCTTAAGACAGAATTCCACTTACAGCTAGTTAATAACAATTGTTTTAAATATTTTCAAAGAGATATTTATAATTTTGTACTGTAAATTTATTCGTTCGTATAATATACAGTGACATTCTTATCGCTCAAACACTAACAAAAGTGTTAACATTAAAAAGAGATAGAATGAATCTATGTGTATGTGTGTGTGTATGTGCGTGTATGTATGTGTGTGCGGATACAAATTTTCGGATGCGGATTTGAATAATTCAAAATACATTCGATTCGCATTGATAAGGAGACGTGTTGATTAGTTTTTGGCGAAAGCAGGTCTAGCCATTCCAAAGATACGGGGCTAAAAGTGCCGAAAACGGTATATCAGTTTTTAAGAGAACGGAGCGTCCCATTTGAATAATTCAAAAAACATTTTATTTGTATTAACTAAATGAAGAATTGATCTAATTTTCATGAAGGCCGGTATAGCGATTTCGGAGATCTAGTAGAAAAAAGTAGAAAAAATGCCATTTGGCAGTCAAAAATGATCATTAGAGATATGCACATCAAATTATCAGATATTTTATAGACATGTTAACAATAGGTATAAATTTTGTTTACATTCCTATGTGTTCAGTACCAATGCTTATCCGTTAGACGGCGACGCGGCGCTTACGCGCTTTGACAATTCGTCTCTATGCTGTTAAAGCAGTACTATTGCTTTGAAAAAAGTTCAGAATTTCCAAAATATGCCAAAATAAAGAAAATTTTTATTTTCATTTTTTTTCAATAATTTTTTTTTTTTTTTAAAAAGTAATTTTGTTTCAAATTTATAGTTTCTCAAAAATCTAATTTTTTTGAGTAAAACTTTTTCAAAAATGTTAATCGTTTTTAAAAAAATAATTTTTGGTACGGGAAGTTCCAGCAATTTGCCTTAAGGCACGATGCCATGCGCCCCACTAGCTTTTTTTTCAATATAGTTCATGAAATGTGTAATTTCTTTGCATTTTTTTACTAATTTTTGGACAATACTTTTAAAATAGGTTAAAAATTTAACTTTAAAACAACAATCTGATACTCTGAATATGACGGCAATGCAAGGATAAATACAATTCGGGTCTTATGATATCAATAAGGAGAAGTTTACGATTCAATTTTGGATATTGTAAATAATGAAAAATTAAATTGAAATTTAAAAAATCCAACATGAAATACGAGTGTTATGATTGAAAATGAAAAGCTAGTTTTTTTAGCTCTCTTGGCATGATTTGTTCAATAGAATAAATCGAATAATAAATAAGTAAAATGTTTTAAAACCCAAATATTAACATTGCACATACGTTAAAAATAATTGAAAATTTAAAAAATTTGATATTATCAACCCACGAATCTTACCACGATTTTCTAAATAAATTTAAAATTAATGTATTTTATACGCTTTTAGATTATATCTAATTTTTTGTGTACTAAATCGAAAATAATTAAAAATTAATTTTAAAAAAATATGTAAATATTTATATAATATTAATGATAAAATGTTAAAACTGTTAATTAATGAGGGTGGCGGGGCGCTAGAAGAAAAAAGTTGCATGCGGGCGCTAGGGACCCCAGGACCGGCCCTGTAATATATAATATATATATATATATATATATATATATTTATATAAATTTATTAATTTATAATTTTTGGCATACCTTATAATGTTTGCTGTTTGCTGCTTCGCACTAATGATCATTAAATATTCCTATAATAAATAATTTTTCTGGTTATTAAAATTTTCTGCACAGACACGTGTTATATCCACGACTCACACACTGTCTTGAGAAATCTAAAACTTTTATATTTAGCATTTTTATTAACATACTAGAAGTGTTACTGTGGTAGGGATATCCACATTTGTTATTTATGTTTGGAAGCTTATTAATAAATAACAATGTAAGTAATCAACATTTATTAATCTTAGTATTCGATAATTGTCGTACATATTGACGTAAGGGAAAATTTATTGTGCATCCGCACACTTTTTCATGAACATAATATTTGAAATTAATCATAGCATTGTAAATGTTTGTACACAGGTGAGTTATTAAAATAGAAACACTAATATAAAAATAAAAATGATGATTTTTATAAAATCATTGCGTATACATCCACACACAGATAAATATATATATATATATATATGTGTGTGCGTGTGTGTGTGTATGTATGTATGGATACAATTTTTCGGTCACGTTTTCGGGCGCACGGATCAACCGATTTGAATGGTTCAAAAAATATTCGATTCCTATTGATAGGAATATGTGCTGATTAGTTTTTGGCAAAGGCAGGTCCAGCAGTTACGGAGATAAAGAGCAAAGAGTGCAGAAAATAAAAATCGAGTTTTTTAGAGAACGGAGCATCCGATTTGAATGATCTAAAAAATATTCAATTAGTAATGATTGGAAGAAGTGATTATTAGTTTTTGGCAAAGGTAGGCCCAACCATTTCGAAGATACAGAGCTAAATGTTATAAAAATGGTAGTTTTTGAGAGAACTAATCCGTCCGATTTAAATGATTCAAAAAACTTTCTGCTTGTTTTAACAAAATAATTGATTTTGGAAAAAAAATTGTTTCAACATTTTTTTCTAATTTTTTTTTCAATTTTTTTTTTGTATATCGAAAATAATTCAAATTTTATTTTCAATTCTGACTATAGTTCTAATATACTTTAAACAAATAATTTCAACTTTATAATTCTTATAAATGTTAGACAATGATACAATATTAATAATAATCTATTGGAAAACATTCAATATTTCTTGAACATTTCGTTAAGGTACGGGAAGTTCCAGCAATTTGCTTTAAGGCACGATGTCATACACCCCACTAGTTTTTATTTTAGTTTTTAAATTCGTATTTGAAAAATACATACAACTTTTTTTACTCAAATACAATTTATTTTTTATCAAGGGTTGCCCATCCCTAACTTTTTTTTAACTTCCCATAGGGTAAATTATAGTAATCGTCCAAAAATCGAAATCAAAAATTTTTACATTTCTCGACGTTTTGAAGGTTTCTGAACATTTTGGCATACCTCAGAAAAAATGGATGTGTGTGTGTGTGGTGTGTGTGTGTGTTTTGTATGTCCGCGTTTTTTTGTCCACGTTTTCAGGCGCACGGATCAACCGATTTGAATGGTTTAAAAAACATTCGATTCCTATTGATAGGGAGATGTGCTGATTAGTTTTGGCAAAGGCAGGTCCAGCCGTTACGGAGATATGGAGCAAAGAGTGCAAAAAATAGAAAGCGAGTTTTTGAGAGAACGGATCAACCGATTTGAAAGGTTTAAAAAACATTCGATTCCTATTGATAGGGAGATGTGCTGATTAGTTTTGGCAAAGGTAGGCCCAGAGGTTTCGGAGATACAGAGCTAAATTTTAAAAAAATGGCTGTTTTTGAGAGAACTAAGCGTCCGATTTAAATGATTCAAAGAACTTTCTGCTTTTTTCAACAAAATAATTGATTTTGTAAAAAAAATTTTTTGTTTCTAATTTTTTTTAAAAAAAAATTTTTTTGTAATTTTGGATTAAAAATTCAAAAAATCACCCAAGCTAAGCACAGTCTAAGCGCCACTCTGGTATAAATGTTTACCCAAGTGCGTTTAGACTGTTTGTGTACTGGAGCACTTTTCCAATTTTGTGAAAATTATTGAAAAATCTGAAAATGCCGCCAAGCTGAGCACAGTATAAGTGAAAATGTCGCACAGAATTATTTGCAAATGCGTTTAGACTGTGACTATGCAGGAGCACTTTTTCAATTTTGTGTAAATTTGGCAACTATTTTTTTTTGGAATTTGATTCGAAATGAAATGACGATTGTTAATGTTCTGGAGATGATAAATTGATTTATTTATAATTAACTTTCCATAGGGTAAGTAATCGCAAAAAAATCGAAAATGAAAAATTTTATATATCTTCACGTTTCAGAGGTTTCTGAATATGTTGGCATACCTTGGAGAAAATTGATGTATGTGTGTGTTGTGTGTGTGCGTGCATGTGTGTGTGTTCGGATACAAAATTTTCGTCGACGATTTCGGGAACACGGATGAAGCAATTTGAATAATTCAAAAAACATTCGATTCGTATTGATAAGGAGACGTGCTGATTAGTTTTTGTCAAAGGCAGGTCTAGCCGTTCCAAAGATATGGGCAAAAAGGGCCAAAAACGGTAACTCAGTTTTTAAGAGAACGGAGCGTCCGATTTGTATAGTTCAAAAAACATTTTACTTGTATTAACAGAATGAAGATTTGATCAATTTTCATGAAGATAGGTCTAGCGGTTTCGGAGATCTAGAAAAAAACTAAAAAAAAATAACATTGGCGGTCAACAATAATCATTAGACATTAGACATATGCATATCAAATTATCAGATATTTTATTGAGATTTTAACAATAAGTATAAGTTTTGTTTACATTCCTATGGGTTCCGTACCAATGTTTTTCCGTTAGACAGCGACGCGGCGCTTACGCGCTTTATATTTTGTCTCTATGCAGTTAAAGCAGTACGATTGCTTTGAAAAAAGTTCAGATCTTCCAAAATATGTCAATATGAAGATAACATTTTTCCAAAAAAAATTTTTATAAAAAAATTGTTTAAAATTTTTTTTAAAAAAAATTTTATTTTTCAAAAAAAAGTAATTTTTTGTCCAATTTAAAATTTCTAAAAAATCTTATTTTTTCGAAGTAAATTTTTTTCAAAAATGTTAATCGTTTTTAAAAAAATAATATTTTTTGGCACGGGAAGTTCCAGCAATTTGCCTTAAGGCACGATGCCTTAATTGCCTTAATTGCCTTAAGACAGAATTCCACTTACAGCTAGTTAATTTTGTAGCCAATTTTCTTATTATTATTTTTTTTTTAATTACAATATTTATTACAACTGTTAAATAGTTAACATCTAGCAATATTGATAAATACTTACATAAATTTAAATAAATAAGAGTGCAAAGGATAGAATTTACATGAAAATAATATCCGTAGTATGATGATTTAATATAAAATACAAGCAAATAATAATACAAATAAAATTAATAAATAAATGAATAAAATTTCTGAATAATAATAATATTAAAAAAAACAATAAAATATAACAAAATAACAATAATAGAAATAGTAAGATGATGATAATAATAATAATAATAATATTATATATTATTATTAATGTAGTGGTTACAAATGGCTATTTATGAGATCATTGGGAATTTTTCGTTTTAGACTGGGGGACGCGCTTCTGAGAATACTTTTGGTGCCGAGTAATTTGGGTGTTCGACGATTGTTTTTACAACTCCAACTTTTTCACCCTCCTTCCACAAATCTCTAATGGATAATAATCATTTTAGTAATCGAATAATTTTTCACCACACTTTAAGTTACTGAGTGTTTTTTACTGAATTTTAATGCATATTTTGATAAAAAAGCATATTTTCTCAAAAAAAAATTATTTTTATCAATGGCTGTTTACCCCTCCAAGTATTCCATTGTACAAACATTTCCCAATGCGCACAAATAGTAAGTAGTTGATAGATGATTGCATAAAAAAATTTTTTTACAAAAATAGAGAGATTGAATAGCAAAATCTAAAGATACAAAAGTTTTTGAACTAGGTACTAAAAAAATTATGGCAGAGTTGTACAATTTTTCACTCTCTCAATTTTTTTTTCATTCTTACTCAAATCGCTGGGCGTGCTGTATAACAATATAACTTACTAGTGAGGGTATGGCATCGTACCTTAAGGCAAATTGCTGGAACTTTCCGTACCGTAACGAAATGTTCGAGGAATACTGAATGTTTTCAAATAGATTATTATTAATATTGTAACATTGTCTAATATTTTAAGCATTATTTATAAACTGAATTGCAAAGTTGAAATTATTGTTTGAAGTATATTAGAACTATAGTCAGAATTGAAAAAAAAATCGAAAAAAAAAAATTTGAAACAAAAAAATAAATTATTTTGTTAAAACAAGCAGAAAGTTTTTTGAATCATTTAAATCGAACGCTTAGTTCACTCAAAAACTGCATTTTTTTTAACATTTAGCTCTGTATCTTCGAAATGGCTGGGCCAAAAACTAATAACCACTTTTTCCAATCATTACTATTGAATGTTTTTTAGATCATTCAATTCGGATGCTTGGTTCTCTCAAAAACTATTCTATTTTCTGCTCTCTTTGCTCTTTATCTCCGTAACTGCTGGACCTGCCTTTGCCAAAAACTAATCAGCACATCTCCCTATCGATAGGAATCGAATGTTTTTGAACCATCAAATCGGTTGATCCGTGCGCCCGAAAACGTGGACGAAAAATTGTATCCATACATACATACACAACACATCCATTTTTTATTAGGTATGCCAAAATGTTCAGAACCTTCAAAACGTCGATAATGCAAAAATTTTCGATTTCGATTTTGGGAGGATTACAATAACTTACCCAAGGAGAAGTTAAAATGAAGAATATTCGAGTTTTCTTCGTAATTCAAAATTAATGAAATAATGAAAAGGGCAGTAATAATGTATCAAAATTGCCAGATGAATATTCAGTAGATCTTGCAAAGCCTTTTAATATTTCACAGGTACATTTATATGTGGCGTG